CATACACATATTTAAGGTATAAAATAAATATCAACATGTAAGTCCCTCTCCCAATACAACCAATGTAAAAAACACAGAAATACAAATATCATGGCTTAGTGCTTGTTTCCTCAGAGTAGTAGTTTCATAAGACTGGGAAGATCGGAAATTGGCTATCTAAAATGAAGATATTAAGACTTCAGAAATGAAGTAATTGGCTTACTTACTTTCATGAATATAGATAATGGTAAAGGGAAGGTTGATCCCTCAGATAATGAGAAATAATAGCTAGAATAGCCAGGGGGTGGTCTAGGGTGTCTGAGCCCCTGAAAATTGTTTTTTTCTAGCCCTTGTGTTAACCCCCATTGGGGGCATAATATCCATCTACCTTAACTACAGACACGTAGTGCTGCAAATAATCAACAGCTGTGAGATCAATACAAAAGGTTGCTTTCTACACTATAAAAAAATGGTGGTGATGGTGGTGGAGAGATTGCGAAGAGACTGTGGCAAGATATAACCAGAGGAACCCTGAGATAAGACATGGGCCATAGTTAAGGGGTTTTCTTGCTGGATGGCTGAAGGCAAAGCTGCCTTATAACTGCTCTGAGATTAAGTTTGGTGGGTGACTGAGGAAACCAGAGGCTTGCATTTTTGCTGTTCAACTAAACCTGGACTTTAACTAATTAAGAAATTGTGCCTTGTTAATCTTGCTTGAGACTTTGAGACTAAACCCTGGACTTTCACTGCCTCCCTTTTTTTGCCTTTCTTTGCCTCCCTTACTCTCCAACCTATTTCCCTAATAAACCCCACAACTTGGGATATATATATATATATATATTATATATAATCTCATGGTTTAGAACAACCTTCTCCAGCCCTAGCTGAGACCTGAGGTTAGCATGAGCAAAGAGGAGTGATTATTTGCCTAGGCATATTTTTTTTTTTGTAAGTAGGCATATCTTTAACAATTCCCCTTAAGTCATGGCTCTGGCCACCCCATAACCAATCTTGTAAGTTTTTATGATCTTTCACTCACTGAGGTAGCCCTAGCCACAATGCTACTCAGAATCTTATAAATGGAAGTAGTGGTTCCTAAGTCAGTGGGATATCACTGGCACCATTGTTGACATTGTTGTTATGTGCCATTGAGTCTACTACAATTTATAATGACACTGTGAACCACAGATCTGAACTTTGCCCTATCCTACACCATCTTCACTATCTCTGATATGTTCAAACCCCCAATTACTGTCACTGTGTCAATCCATCTTGGTAAGGGTAGTCCTCTGTATCTCTGACCCTCCACCTTTCCCAGCATGGTGTATTTTCCCAAGGATTGGTCCCTTCTAACAAGATGCTGAAGGTATGTGAAACAAAGTTTGCTCATCCTTGTTTCATGGAGCACCATGGTTCTTTTGGCCATCCATGGCATATCCAGTACTCTTCACCAACACCACTATTCAAAGCATAAATTCTTATTCAGTCTTCAGATGCATAGGAAGCAACTGAAAATACCATAACTTGAATCATGCATGTCTTAGTTTTTAAAATGACATTTTTGCTGTTTAGCACGTTGGAGGGGTCTTTCCCAATTACATACGTCTCCTGCTCTCCTGACTGCTCTACCATAGGTGTTTATTATTGATTCAAGTAAGATGAACTCCTTGACAAATTCAGTCTTCTCTCCATCTATCATGATGTTGCCTGTTGGACCAGTGATGCAGATTTTTGTCTTCTTGATGTTGAGATGTAATCCATATTGAAACTTGTAGTCTGATATTCTACAGCAAAGTTGTGCCACCTGCAATAACGCAGGTTGATGAGACTTCCACTGATCCTGATGTCATATTCTTTCTCCTACTTTTTTGTGTTTTTAATTATTCTTTTTCTTTTGATGCCACATTCTTTTTGCATTTAGTCCAGCTTCTCAAAAGATCTGCTCAGCATACAGATTGACTATGCATAGAAAAAGGTATAACCATGACACACACCAGTGCTCCTTTGTTCTATTTAGCCAAGTGCTTCTTAGTCTATGTACAGTTTTCACTTGAGCACAATTAAGTGTCTGGAATTCCCATTCTTAATGTTATTAATAATTTGTATACTGCTAGGAGGGGTTATTCCTTGGAGAAGGACATGATACTAGGAATGGTGAAGGGTTGGCGAAGAACAGGAAGTTCCTCAACCAGGTAGATTGACATGGCGACTGCCGCAATGGGCTCTTGTGTGTCAGGAAGTATGGGGATGGCACAGGATAGAGAGGGGTTCAGATCTTTTGTTCATAGGGTCACTGGGAGTCGTACTCAACTCAACATACCTAACAACCTAACTACATGATCCACACAATTTCAAGAGTGGTTTATCTCTTTTAAGTTCTTAACAACCTTTATAAAATATGTTCTCATTTGGTGATGTTTTGTTCCCTTGGCACAATGCTAGATTCTTTTACTTTATTATCATTTATTATTAT